AGTGGAATTCGGTGTTTCAGAACCACCTGAGTCCAGATCCCGTCGCCTCCACTAACCAGCTGGGTGACTCTGCGCAAGACACTTAACCTCTCTGATTCTGTTCTCTCATCCGGAAGAGGGGGTGAGCCAATAATAATACCTGTCTCCTAGGGTAGAGAGGATTAAATCGGATAAAGTTTGTGGAACCTCTGACAATAGGCCTGACACCCAGCTCGATATAAGTCAAATTTCTTTCTACCGTTCCCTCCGGCCCCTAGCGCCTCCGGGCCCCAGCTGAAACTGAGCTGGGCCCTCAGCGGGCTGGGCAGAGGCTGGGGGAAGAAGGGCGAGCGTTCCTCCGCCCGAGGTGGGCAGTGCCGGGGTGGGAGACGTTTGGGGGGCCCCCCGGGGCCTCGGGGGTCTGCCTGACATCTCCAGGCTTAAATAACCAGTGCGCCTTTGTTATTCGTCGGCAGCAAAGTGGTTCGTTACGCCTGATTGGTCTAATTGCTTTGAAATGGGATATATTATCTATAATTATAGAGCTCTAGGAGGAGCCGGCCGGCCTCCGCTTTCATCTCCCTCAAGTGCACCCTCATGTCGCGATCACATTCATTTGGCCATTTGAAAGGGGGGCCCACCCTCCTCCCCTCCCCCCTCCCCCAGCAGATCCAGGCCCGCTCATCCCTTTCCGAATTTAAAGACACCAGGAAGCCCCGGCCCGCCCGAGCCAGAAGAACGAAGCCAGTGGGGGAGGGGCGGGCAGGAGCGGAGGGTCGGGCCCTGGATTTCTCCCTGGCGCCGCGTGAAATCCACCGCTCTTGGGCGCTTCAACCGCACACTTTGGATCCACTGACGCTCTGAGGCGGAGGGGTTAGCAAGGAGAAAGTATTCTTCAGAAGTAGCTTGCTTGCTTATCTATCTATCTATCTATCTATCTATCTATCTATCTATCTATCTATCTATTTTACTTCGCGTTCAAGAAGGGCACTGAAACTCTGAAAAGGCCTAAGTTCTGCCCAGGTCCAGGGAAAGCAAAAACGCATTTGGCTCCGGATCCGTGCGGTGGAGCGCCGGTCAGTAGCCGCAGGCTCCCTGGAGTTCTCGGCTATTCCATGCTGTGGAATCCTCTCGAAGAGCGCCCTCGGAGCCGCCGGGACGTCTTCCCACACCTCTGCCTCCCGGCCGCTCATTCTAGGCGACAGAGGCCGAGAGACTGGAGAACGCGGGGTCGGGAGGCCCCCTCCCCAGGTTTCGAGATCCCGAGGTCGTGCTTTCTGTCTATCTGTCAACCTCCCTCCCCCCAGGACAAAATACCTCCCCCTCCTCCCCGCCCTTCCCCCGCCCCGCCGCCCTCCTGGAGATTGGTGAATTCCCACCAAAATAAATCGTTCCGGGTAATCGGTTTTCATAGCACATTCATTCTATTAAAGAGGACTGTTTGGGGCTCGCTAATTGCCGGGGGATCCCACTGAGCTGCACATTTTAAAAAATGCACGCAGGATTCCTGGGTCGAGGCCACAAAACGCGTTGGGAAAGGGAGGAGGGGCATAAACAAAAACTCGCGAAGGCGACAGCGAATGCCAAAGTGAGGGGGGCCAGGCTGCAGGCTCTTCCAGTCCCTGCGGCAATGCCGAGATAGCGACAGCGGTCTTTAAGATGGGATTTCTCCAAAAATTCATCTTCGGGGGTGCAGAGTCTAAAAACAACACCACTCTTTCTCTGACGTCGCACCCCTCACCCCTTAAAATAAAATATCTGGAGTGGGGCTCAAAGCCGCCACTAGTTAGTGGTCTAGAGGACGCAGGACAATCCGTCTTTAGGATCCACAATGCTGAGGCTCTAGGTTGGGGATGGAGGGTGCTTTAAGACGTCCGCATGAGGGGCGATGGAGCGAGGAGAGGCTGGAAGGGAGGGGAGGGGAGTGCGCGAGGATGGAAGCGGAGCTCAGTCCCGGAGCTTTATCTGCTGCGGGCCAGCCTTGCCCTTGCCAGGCATGAATTACAGCCGGGCGGGCTGGGCTGCAGCGGCCGCGCGCAGAAAAGCCGGGAGCAGCGCCTGAGGGTCAGAGCTGGCGGCGAGATAACAGGCGCGGCCCCCCACCCCCTGGCCTGTCAGCTCCAGGAACCTACCAACCGGGAAATCCGAAAAGTCCCAGACACGGACGCAGAGATGGCCCCCTCTCTCTGCCCCCCAAATGTGTGCGTTTCCTCCCGCGTGGACAGCACGCCCCGGGAGACGCAGAGACTTTTGGTGCTTTTCGCTAACTCGGGTCTCTGGGAACGAACGCGAGCATCTTACCCCGCAGCCCAGGGGGAGGGACTCGCTCTATTCTGAGCACAGAGACCAAGTGAGGTCGCCTCTGGACCCCCATCGCTCTGCAGCCACACTCTTCTCGCCTGGCATCGCGTGCACGCGGCCAACCCGCCGCGCCGGGCGAGAGAGACAGGATCCTAGACCCAGAACCTAAAAAGATGCCAGGGGTCCGGCCCGGCTCGGGGTGCCTGGGGGCAGCCGCGGGGCCAGGGGCTGCGGGTGCAGGCGGTGTGCTCCCTGGAGGCGGGGGCCCGACTTCAAGGGCGCCTGCGCCGGCTGCTGCCTTTGATCCGGCCGCCGCTGGCGCCTAAAAACAACATCCTCGTCTGCCTATTAGGCGCGCTGAGGGATCGTGACAGATTGTTTATCCCCGCAATTAGCATGCGGTCCTTCTCCCGCCGCCCGGCCGCGGCCGGAGGCCCGGCGTCGCCGCACGCGCCGCGGGAGACAGCTCTGAGACCCCTCTTGGCCGGGTGGCCCGTCCCGGGGTTCGAGCCCCCGCTCTGCGCCAAAGCAGGGGCTCCTAACGGCGACTCCACGTGGGCCCAGAGTCCCCGAAATTGTTATAGCTGAGATACATTTTTCTAGGGAGACCTTTCTTAGTTATATTGGATTCTCAAAGTAATTTGGGAGTCAAACATTTTGAAATGGGAGACGAGGGCCAAACAAAGCAAAGTCGCTTTTTAAAATGCAGGCCTAAAAAACCAAGAAGCCTCGATTTCCCCTCCCCCACTTAACCCGGGTGCAGAGGGTGGAGGGGGCTGCTTTGGCGACAGTTTAATTGCCAGTGCGCGCAATGAGCTCGCCGTCAGGGCTGGGCTGCCAGCAAGGTGTTCGGCCGAGCGCTTTGCGGAGCGTCGGTTCGCTCAGCTCTAAAAAGGGGTTGTATCGCCTTCTGTCCTTGTACCACCCTCAAGCCTAACTCCGGGACCTCGGTTTCCCTGCGCATTCCCTATTCGTCCTTACCCCGCAGAGGCACGGAGAGTTTAAGGCAGGCCTCGTCCATGCGGCGCGCCTCCAGCTGGGCCCAAGAGAGCTGGAGGCCCCAAACCCTGCCCAGTGCTTGTGTTATAGCCCGGGGTGTGTAAGAAATCTGGAGAGGTGGCGTAAGATTCACAGATGCGCGTATTCCCGAAGCCGCCTCGCGTGGCCTCACATCTCTCTGAGCCTGTGGACACATGTGAAGCTGCTGATCGCCCTGGCATCCGCAGCCAGACCCCTCCCGCCAGACCCCGGACGCCGTCCGGGTAATAAAGTTCCCGCTCTAGTAATTCATTTTACTTAATCTGGACGCCCCTAATCTACTGCTTTTATTGCGCTCAGTTAAAAGTCGAGGGAATTCGCTGTCCCTCCGCGCTCGGATAATTACCCCTAAATGGCCACGGCAGCCCCTGTGTTTCCTGGAGATTAGAACCCCGCGGTCATCAATGGCGGGTCCGAGTGAGCCGCCAATCACCACTGCTCGCCGTCCGGGAGCCGCGCCGGCCTGGGCCCCGGGATAAGAGGCCATAAAGCGGTGGCGCGGAAAACGGCAGAGCCTCGACCCGGCCGTGCATAGATCTCACGTCTCCGCGCTCCCCCGACCCATTTCCCTTTTCTTTTTTTAACTGCAAAAATAAAATCACGTTTCCCCCGAAACTGGCAAAATAAAAGTTTTCAAGCCCAGCCCCAAGGATCTACCCCAAGAACCGGTCTCTTTCCCGCGACCGCCACCCCCAAAGGTGCCTCCCCCCACCCCCTCCACGACCAGCGACCCGGAGATTGGGACTGTTATTGTTTCCGCGGACGCTCTGCTTGAGGTCACGTTGAGGCCAGATCACTGTTTTGTTGACGTTTCTGTTGGTTTTATTTCGGTAAGTTCTGTACCAAAAGGACCCAGCGACTCCGTCCCCCAGCCGGTTGCCAGAGAAGTTAGAGTGGGAAAAGCACCCATCATGTATGAAAATCGATGATCGACTCCGGATACTATTATGTATTCCTATCCTTAACATCCGTGGTCCTAAGAGCCTGGCTTTTTAAGGCAAACTTCAGTTCAGCGCTTAGAAAGAGACAAAGGCCCACTTTTATGCGGAGGTAAAGTTCTGAAGATCGAAGCCGAGGAAGAAAATGAAAGAGTTTTAAAAATCAATGAATAGTACGTCTTTCTACTAGATTAAATAACGACGCCGATTTTTTCAACTATTAGAGGAATATGTAAGACATGACCTCAACTCAGATCGTCGTGGGAGGGAAGGGGGAAGGCAGGCCGGGGAAGGGGACAGAGCGGGACGAGCACAGCGACTGACTGAAGAGAAAGGTAAGCGGGAGGAGCCGTGGGAGAGAGAAACAGAAAAAGGAGTAGAGAAAAAACCGGGAGGAGCGGGTGAGAGGGCGATAAGGGAGGGGGAGAAGAGGGGGTCAGAAAGGAAGGGACGAGAACAAGGGAACCCAGGAACCCAGAAAAAAAAAAAACAGAGACCCGAGGGGACCCAGAGAGCGCGGCGGCCGGGCTTTTGCGCAGAGGAAAGTTTCTCCCCCGCCCCTCCCCTCCTCTGCCCTCCGGGGCCCCGCCCCGTCCCGCGCGCCCCAAGGCCCAGCGCGTCCCCGGGCGAGTCTGCAGGATCGCGGCCCAATGGATCCCGTCGGGCCCGCCCCCTCGCGCGCCGATTGGCCGCTGCCGCCCGGGCCTCTCCTTATTAACAAGTTCTCTGGGGAGCAGCGGCCGACCTGGAGCCGGCTAGTGCGCCCGGGAACTCGGCCTGCGCGGCGGCGCCAGCGGGTAGCCAGGCCCAGAGCGCCGGAGCCGGCCTTCTGGGGAGGGGCGGGAGGCGCGCGCGGGAGGGCCCGCCCGGCCGGGGCCCCGGGCGCTCCCAGAAGCCGGCCGCGCTCCCAGCCCGCCCGAAGCCCATGCCCAGCGGCTGGCCCGTGCTGCGGCTGGAGGTGGGGCCCGGCTCTGCATGGCCCCGGCTGCTGACATGACTTCTTTGCCACTCGGTGTCAAAGTGGAGGACTCCGCCTTCGGCAAGCCAGCGGGGGGCGGCGGGGGACCGGCCCCTAGCACCACCACGGCCACAGCGGCCGCCATGGGCGCAGACGAGGAGGGGGCCAAGCCCAAAGTGTCCCCTTCGCTCCTGCCCTTCAGCGTGGAGGCGCTCATGGCCGACCACAGGAAGCCCGGGGCCAAGGAGAGCGCCCTGGCGGCCTCCGAGAGCGCACAGGCAGCGGGCGGCTCCGCGCAGCCCATGGGCGCCCGGCCGGGGTCGTTGGGCGCTGCGGACGCGCCGTCCTCGCCGCGGCCGCTCGGCCATTTCTCGGTGGGAGGACTCCTCAAGCTGCCAGAAGATGCGCTCGTCAAAGCCGAGAGCCCCGAGAAGTCCGAGAGGACCCCGTGGATGCAGAGCCCTCGCTTCTCCCCGCCTCCGGCCAGTGAGTAGCCAGAACCCAGGCAGCGGGGGAGGGGGCCGGGCGGGGATGCGGGACCCGAGGGCGCCAGGCCGCGCGCCGGCGCCTGCTTGTCTCCGGCGTTTTCATACCTGCAGCCGGTACCTGGAGCCGGTGCTGCCTCTCCGTTGGCGGGGAGGTCGGAGTTTGCGTGCTCCCCATTTCCACCCAGGAAGATGGTTCGAGGCCTGGCTGAGGCCCGGCGCTCGGTCCACTTTCGCGGGATCCTGGTCTTGGCTAGGCGGCCGTGCGGCTGGGACTTTACTTCCAGAACATGGGTGTTGGGGCACCCTCTTCTCCTGCCCCCACCCACCAACCACAGAAGTCCCCGCTCCCCCGTCTGACCCTGAGCCCTGCTACTTCGTCGTTCCCCCCAATCGGTGGGTCCGAGTGGCGCGGACATGTTCCCTGCGCGCAAAGTTTCACTTTCTCAGTGGAAGCCTCGTGCCCGCTCCCCGCCCCCCCCCCACGCCCCAGTAAAGTGTCTCTTTGCGGGAAGGATCTGAAGCGCTTAAAATTCCCCTCCCCCCTCAAGTTTCAGGCAGATCCTTGGTGCTTTGGGTAGATGGACCACTGGAGGGGAGGGGGACGCTCAGGTCCAGCGGAGGGGGCGGGGCACCAAGTCGCTTAGTGGGAGGCACCCCCTCCAATCCGGTCGGAAGCTCCCAAACCTTCGGACTGGGCCACTGAAGCGGACTCAGCCACCAAAGGCGCTGTCGGGGTCGTTCCAAGGCCTCGCGGCCCCTGGGCTTCTCTGCCCAGCGAACGCGCTCGGAGATATTTCAGGAGCACGGGAAATTCCCGAGTTTTCCTCGTTTCCTCCGATTATTTCGCGCGGCATAATAGCAACCCGAATTCAATGGCGTGATGCTAAGGCGTGATTTTTATCTGGGGATTAAACGTCTTTGAAAGGCCAGCCCCTCCCTGAGCCTAATAGCCTGAAAAGGTGGCCCAGCGTTGGGCTGTCCCTGCCGAAGGCAGCATCTGCCCCTCGGGTGTCCTGGCGGAAAGCGAGTTGGGGGCCAACTGTTTCCAGGACTCTCAGTGGCCTCGAAGGGGGAAGAAGAGGGACGTTAACGCGAGATTTTGTTTGACTCGCATACTAGTGGTCCAAAAGGCCCAAAGGATCCTTTTTTTTTTTTTTAAGGCATGAAAACATGCATAATTAGGCAAAACCCGCATGGTGGAACATTCCAAATTTGAGTTCATTTTACCCCAGAGGGAAGCTGCTGCTGCGTAGGCAAAGCGTCCTTTCCAGGACTTAGGCATTAGGCAGTTAGGGCCCCTGCCCGGATTCTAAAGTCAGGGCGATCCCCGTCATCCTAGGTGTAATTTGTTCCACGTTTTATCCGCCGCTGCCACCGGATGTGGCAGCGGTTGGCTCTCCCCGCAGACTCAGTCCCGGACCTGCTCGAGCCCTCTGCCCGGTGCTCGCTCCCTGGCTGGACTTGAGGCCTATTTTGAAGCCATAAGAAAAAGACAGCCGGGTACTTTTGATATCTTCGGACTGAGCCACAAGTCGAGGAGAAGCTCGTTGCACACATATACACACACACACCCCACGCACACACGCATTTGAGTGTGACCAGAAGGCCGAGGCACTGGGGGTGAGAGAGGCCCCCAGAGACAACTGAGACATCAGAAGAAGCAGCCGGAATAAAATGGAGCGCCTTTCCCTCACTCCCCCTCCGCCACCACATGGCACTGTATACATTTAAGAGACATGGCCGTAGGGTGACCCTCATGACAGCCGGCCTTGTTCCACCTCCTACCAGGGGACCGCCCTTAGAACTCTGTAGGAACTCGCAGTTCCGAGGGAAAGTGTGGAATTTGGGCGTCTGGATAATGCCACCGGGGTCTAGCCCGGCGCTGAGCACCTGATGGGCACAGAGCAATGTCTGGGTAAGAGTGACCTTGGACCGCGCACAGGGCCTCTTTCTGCATGTTTCAACCGCCTTATTACCATCCGCGGTCCCAACCTGCCTGGCGGTGGGAAGAGGCCCAGCTGTGACAGGCCTAAGCAGCATCTGGCACTCAGGTGGTTCCACCTCTTCCCAGTTGTCATGTTCGGGCCTTGAACATGGGTGTGTTTCCCCTGAAATCTTAGTTTCCTCATTTGCAAAAAAAAAAGTAGACGAGTCTGTCCCCGCCGCTGGGGTCGTGTTGGCAATCGAAGATATTTTCCGAGTGCCTCGCGAGGTGCCCCGCGCGGAAAAGCGGGAAAACGAGTAGCAGGCATGGTTATTGACTCTTCTTGCTACTTTATGGGCAGACGGCGCTCCTGCGCTGCTCTTAACCCCCTGCTTCTCTCTCTCGGCCCCCCCTAGGGCGGCTGAGCCCCCCGGCCTGCACCCTGCGCAAGCACAAGACCAACCGCAAGCCGAGGACGCCCTTTACCACCGCGCAGCTGCTGGCGCTGGAGCGCAAGTTCCGCCAGAAGCAGTACTTGTCCATCGCCGAGCGCGCCGAGTTCTCCAGCTCGCTCAGCCTCACCGAGACGCAGGTGAAGATCTGGTTCCAGAACCGTCGCGCCAAGGCCAAGAGACTGCAGGAGGCAGAGCTAGAAAAGCTGAAGATGGCCGCCAAGCCCATGCTGCCACCGGCTGCCTTCGGCCTCTCCTTCCCGCTCAGCGGCCCCGCTGCTGTAGCCGCGGCCGCCGGCGCCTCTCTCTACGGCGCCTCTGGCCCCTTCCAGCGCGCCGCGCTGCCGGTGGCTCCCGTGGGACTTTACACGGCCCACGTAGGCTACAGCATGTACCACCTGACATAGAGGGTCCCAGGGCCGCCGACTTGAGGTGCCAGCTGATTCCTCCAGCCCTGGGCTTCTGCGAGCAGCAGGGCCGGTACCCAGCTAGGTCCCCTAGTCAGCACGGCCGGGCCCCTTCC